TAAATAGTGTAAATAAAATAGCTATTTTAAAATCGCCAAGTTTTTATTGTAAAGAACCTGTTAAGCCCGCAACACTATGTTAACCTTATGAGTATTCATATTTAAAGGGAATTAAAGCATTTAGTCAGCTGTTTCAACTAAAAAGTTGCTTCTATGATATACAAAAGCATTAAAAAGTTATAAGATTTACCAACAGGGTGCAGCACTATATATTTTTTTCATAAACAGCTAATTTGAACTAAGCAGCAACAAACAACTATGATACACAATGAGAACTGTCAAAGTAGGATTGTTTACAGTTATGATTATGTTTTTAATGTCATGAATAATTTGTGATTTTTAGCGGATTTCCCATATAGGGAATAAGTTATTACCGTAGTACTCATGGTAAGACCTGGACCCGGGACCGATTTTTTTTTTCGTTTTGAGGTCCCTAGAGGCCAAAAACACTATCCGTTCAAATTCATATATATATATATATATATATATTTATATATACGAGAGGTCGTCCAGTGGTCGAAACTCGACCAAAAATATGTAATGTACTCACTTAACTATTTTCACCCCACACTGTAAATAAAACATGTGATTGGAGTTTCCTCCATTTGTTTTGATTTTCTGTTTATATTTCGTTGTTATTTCGTAACCAGCATAGCAACGCATAAGATCCATGTTAATTTTTTACAACTTTTAAACTTATTTTTTGTGCTTATCTTTGAGCCTATTTAAATTTATAAAGGGATTCTGCACACCTACAGGAAAATAGCTTTCCAACGGTATGCGTAGATTTTCCCTACGATGCACACGAGCTGAGAAAAAAGGTTTTAAAGAAACATGCTTGCCTATTAATATATAGATAGATAGATATCTAATATATAAAATTCTCGTGTCACAGTGTTTGTCTGCAAACTCCTCCGGAACGACTTCACCGATCGTTATGAAATTTGGTGTGTAAATTCTGTAGGTATGCGAATCGGACGTAAACTATTTCCCGTTTCGAAATTCTTAAAAGGGCTCCGCCCCAGTGGCTCTGGAGTTTCCCATGTTAACCTTATGAGAAATGGAATTAATGAATCTTAACAGCTGTTTCAATTAAACAAGTTGGTTCTGTTCTATGATGTTCAATAGCATTAAAGTTACAAGGATTACCAACAGGGTGCAGAACTATTATTTCTTTTACATTTATGACAACAGCTAATTTGCAACCAAAAGGTGAGTGAGCGTAGCGAACGAACTTCAGCCTGGAGGCGAGTTAGCGTAGCGAACGAGCTAACCTGAAGGCAAGTGAGCGCAGCGAACGAGCTCCAACCTAAAGGTGAGTGAGCGTAGCGAACGAGCTCCAACCCAAAGGTGAGTGAGCGTAGCGAACGAACTTCAACCAGGACGTGATTGAGCGATGCGAACGAGATCATCTTGAAAATTAAACGTAACGGTACTTTCTTTCCATCGGTCTGTCTTAGGGGAAACCTATAACTTAGGCGATACGAAGTTCGCTGGGTCAGCTAGTATATATATATATATATATGTGTCCGTTAGCGCGATAACTCGAGCAAAAATGATCCGATTTTGATGAAATTTGGTACAAACGTGTAAACCTACGTTTATTCAAATGAGTTCGCGAACCAGCATGATCGGACCATGGGAGCGGGGGTTTATGGGGGCTTTTATGGGGAAAAAATGGGTTTTTCCCATTTTTGACCCAAAAAACATAAAATTTTGCAATTTCTCTTTAAACTATTTTGTAGAGCTTAAAAAAACAAATAATTTAGTATATTGAAGCCTTATAATGCGCCTAATGGTTACGGAGAAAATTTCAAAAAATTGTAAATTTAAAATTCTTATGTTATTCTTATGGAGAATAAGTAAACTGTTGAATAAGTAAACTTGTTTATTAACATATTTTGCCCAAATTTGGAAAATGTTTTTATTTCTTACCATCTATTAACATTTTACATAAAAAAAACACTTTTACCCTCCCTGTTGCAGCAAACCTAAGTATGTTTTAAACTGATTCTATTTAAATAGGGAATAAATGTGATATTTTTAAGGAGACATTTTAGTGTAAATTCATTCAGGGAAATGGAAATTCGCTTAGTCTGCAGGTTTGCTGCGGCGGGGGTATTTATATTTGTAATACTTTATTTCTTTTTATTGTTTAGGTGAAGAGGTAAAACATTATGGCTATGGTTGATGTGTTATACCATAGTATACCGTCAATTTAAAGAAGCAAATTTTATCAAACTTTGTCCTCCCCCATTGCAAACGCAAAGCTTGAGTATAACTGAAATAAGCAATTTAAACTTATATGCCAACCCCGTACGAAGGACGGGTACTCTGCTAGTTCTCCATAGGAATAACATGGGAATTTTAAATTTAAAATTTTTTGGAACTTTCTCCGTAACCATTAGGCGCACAACCGCTTCAATATACTAAATTATTTGTTTTTTTTTTAAACTTTACAAAATGGTTTAGAAAGAAATTGTAAAATTTTGTGTTTTTAGGGTCAAAAATGGGAAAAACCTATTTTTACCCCATAAAACCCCATATAAAACCCCGTTCCCATAGTCCGATCATGCTGGTTTGCGAACTCGTTCGAATAAATGTAGGTTTACACGTTTATACCAAATTTCATCAAAATTGGATAATTTTTGCTCGAGTTATCGCGCTAACGGACACATATATAAATATATATATGAATTTGAACGGATGGTGTTTTTGGCCTCTAGGGACCTCAAAACGAAAAAGTAAATCGGTCCCTGGTCCAGGTCTTACCATGAGTACTACGGTAATAGCTTATTCCCTATATGGGAAATTCGCTAAAAAAACAAACAAAAAAAATCACCCAGGACATACTATAACACACTCTAAAAAACCTGGCCAGAAAAATACCTTAAAACTGTCTTCAGCTCATCCATAAATATATTTAATGGGAGTATGTTTTATATTTATTCACACACACACAAATTGTAATCCAAGGTAATTCATCATGGAATGATTATGTGAAGAAAGATATTTGCAATGTGGAGAAAAACACAACCAGTCTATTTTTAACAAAAATACATAACTGTGATAAGTAGCAAAAATAGACTACAATACATTTAGGCCTTAACCTATTCTGACTTGTACCCAGTCATGGTTGTCGAGGTAAAATATTTTTAAACTCAAAACAATACTAAGAAGGTCTTGATTACAATGCCTTCCATACTTCAGTAGAAACTCAAACACTTGCAATGTTGTACACAGAAATTGAGTTGATTCACAAAACATAATCTGATTTTATTGAAAAAAAAAAACATCCTAATAGTGCTCAAGACATACAACAAAAAATTAAAATCTTTTAGTACATTGCCATTTAGAACATTACTCAAGACCCATTTTTACCTTTTTTACTCCTTACAATCTATGTGATTCTTGTAAAATATATAATTTCATCTGGTTGTTGATGTGAGGAACATCAGGTCATTGAAATAAAGATTGTCGATATATTTCCATAAAATGTTAATCTTTACCACTGCAAAAATCCTGTTGGCATTTAATGTAATTTTATTAATTGGATTTTTAATGTCAATAAAGAGCAACTATTAATTATAATTACTAAGGTAGTAAAATTAGGTCAAATGCTAACAATATAATCTATATCTAATTTCACACTAAAAATCTCATTAAGCAATCAAGCTTTATCTCATAGTGAATGACCTCCACTAAACCTCACTGCAGTGTAGGTGTAGTGATAAGTTGGAAGTCCTTACAAAAGTAGGTAAAATTGTAAAACAGCTCAAAATAAATGTGAGTAATTATCTTATGGTTTGCATTGTTAAAACATTTTTTAATGTTTTGTTTTAACAAGTACATTTATATTAATATCCATTAGTGGAAACACCTAATTAGATGTATGTTCTATTGTTCATATTGAACTTTTTTTTTTCGTTTTGAGGTCCCTAGAGGCCAAAAACACCATCCGTTCAAATTCATATATATATATTTATATATATGTGTCCGTTAGCGCGATAACTCGAGCAAAAATGATCCGATTTTGATGAAATTTGGTACAAACGTGTAAACCTACGTTTATTCAAACGAGTTTGCGAACCAGTATGATCGGACCATGGGAACGGGGGTTTATGGGGGCTTTTATGGGGTAAAAATGGGTTTTTCCCATTTTTGACCCAAAAAACATAAAATTTTGCAATTTCTTTCTAAACTATTTTGTAGAGCTTAAAAAAACCAATAATTTAGTATATTGAAGCGTTATAATGCGCCTATCGGTTACGGAGAAAATTCCAAAAAATTGTAAATTTAAAATTCCTATGTTATTCTTATGGAGAATAAGTAAACTGTTGTAGTTTGCTTGTTTATTAACATATTTTGCCCAAATTTGGAAAATGTTTTTATTTCTTACTAACTATTAACATTTTACATTAAAAAAACACTTTTACCCTCCCTTTGTTGCAGCAAACCTAAGTATGTGTTTTAACTCATTCTATTTAAATAGGGAATAAATGTGATATTTTTAAGGAGACATTTTTAGTGTAAATCCAATCAGGCAAATGGAAATTCGCTTAGTCTTCAGGTTTGCTGCGGCGGGAGTATTTTTTATTGAAGTGTAATTAATAAAACTGCATTTATGCATTCATTATTTGCACTTTTATTCCAAGGCAATACTTTCCTGAAATACCTCTATTTTAAAGTAAACCAATAAAGTAAGTAATATTTTAATAATTAATTTCATAATTGAAAATGAAATAATTGCTCACTAGTTTTGTCTATGTCACTAGTTACTGAATTAAATCAAAATCATATCAAGAGCTTAAATTAATCTGGCTTGCAGAACAAGATAAATTTATGATCAAAGAAATTAACAAATTCATAATATAATTTGTTCACCTTAGTGTTTGCATTTCAACATAAGAAGTTATTTTCTTTTTGCTATGCGCCTTGCCATTATTATCAGTAAGATAACTACATGTTTTAGTAAGGTACCAGAATAATGGCCGTGAAAACTGAAATGAAACTGTTTGCCGAGAGATAACAAACCTAATGGCAACATGAGAAAAGATGGTACATATCTTGCAGAGTTGACGACAGATGCGGTAGGTAGGTATGTAGCAAATAAAATCATCACCTCGCTTTGCCGTAGAAAGCCAAATTTCAAAAAATTATAAAAATTGATAGAAAAGTAAAAATTTATAGCGAGTCCTATAAAAACTGCTACTTAATATAATTTCACTTGAAATTTATTGAGTTTAATTTTTAATTTTATACTGCAAGGAGTATAAAATGTATAATTTTTGTTGGCAGGTTTTAGTTTGAATTAATGGGGCCTTTTTATGGGGGTTTATTGGGGGTTTTTTATGTCATTGTTTTTTTTTATGATATGTTCGTAATTAATAAAATAGACAAAAACAACTGGAAGAGAAACCTTTTATTCCCTGGAAGATTGCTCGAGTATATATTTAATGACAACTGGTAACTGTTTTATAAATAAAAAAAAACTAAATGCACTAAATGTTGTCTTCAGACACTTATATTAAAGCTCTTGTCCGGATCAATTTGCTATACAATCATTAGATATTTATTTAATGCTAGACCATTGCACACTGAGTGGAATAACATCAGATATCGATTATTTTATTTATTTTAATGTTATGATACTTTTATTAGGTTTTAGTTTTTATCTAATAGTGCGAGCAATGTCTTAAATTGGTAATACTTATAATACAAAAGTAATTTCTTTTTTTGATCAAATAATTTATTTGTTTGTCGGCATTTGCAACTAAGAAATTTCCAAATTCAAAACAGAGCACACCTTTTTTGTCAGCAAATGTATGTATTTCTGTGTAGAATAAAATTTAAATAACGTTCGAGTGTAAGAAAGTTGCAAATAAACTTATCTTTTTAATTCACTATCATGTTTACCTTCTTGTAAACAAATAAAGAACACTTCTAAGAAATGTTTTGAGAAACATTTCTCCAAAAATGTAAAAAGCCAAATGAGTTTGATCGAATTGATTGTTATTTTAGGTAGCAATTTGTTTGTAAAAATGTGTAGGAACATTACAGCCATTATAAAAAAAAAAACTTATTATATAAAACTAAAATTAAGCCTACACATAATAATAAAATAGGACTGAAAAACTGTTGTTTTATTTTAGGAAGGCATCAAATGGAATCATGAAATGGATAACTAAAGGACCTCCTTATTTTGTCTTATTCCTCTTTGGTTTTACAACTTCGACTCTCAGCACAGAAAACAAAACAGGAAAATGTGACGAGGAATTGTTTTTAGACACAATTGCAGAGACGTTCAATATTTCTTCTCCCGGTTACCCAGATACAGCTTACACTCCCGGATCACACTTTACCTGGTGCCTCACAGCTCCGGAACACATGATAATATCAATCACTTGCGATGAGTTTGATGTTCCAAAAGTAAGTTTAATTTATGTTTGTTTAAGTAAGTTTAATTTATATTTGTTTAGTTGAACTGATTCGGAAGAAATTTTGTTATCAGAAGTGAAAGTGCTGGTTTTTATTGGTAAGTTTGTAATTAAATTAGTTTTATATTTTACAAACAAATTACAGTTTTTTGAGAAAAATCATTAACTGAGTGAACAACTTGAATCTAAACATACCAATTAAATATTGTTTTATTTATTTTGTGTTTTTGTTCAAGAAACAGTTATCAAATCAAATCAAATCAAATATGCTTTATTCATAAAGTACAGTTTTGTACATTGAATGGCGTCAACTAAATCTATCTTAAATTAATAATTTACAAATCTGCATATCTTGGATCATTATGTACATTAAAACCAAGAACCAGGAAATGAAAATAATCAAAACTGAATTAATTACTACCGCTAAGAGGGGAGGTGGAAAAATACTCTTCCATGGAATAGAACGCTTTCTCTACTAAATAAAGTTTTAGTTTTCTCATTAAATTCTTCCTGCTAATCATTTCTGATTTCATTAGGAAGATGCTTAAAAAATTTTAATCCTATATAGGATGGTTTTTTTTCATAGAATTTTAATTTGTGTTTACTTGAAATAAGGAATTTTTTATGCCGAGTGTTGTATGGGTGATAATTTGTCTCAGAGGTGCTCAAAGCAGTTTTTTGTTAGAATAATTGTGTCGTAAATAAATTGGCCATATACCATTCAGTAAAATTTTCAGTTCTTTGAATTTGTTTTTGGTTGTTTCGTTGTGTTCTAATTTCAAAATTATTCTTATTGCTATTTTTTGAAGTTTAAGTATCCTATCCAAATTTGCTATTGTAGTTGAACCATAAAGGCCAAACCATAGGATAAATGTCAATGGACATTAGCATAATATATGTTTTTAAATGTTTTATGGTTATCGGCTTGGACTCCTAGACAAGCGGTTGTACAGCTCAAGATTAACTGTGACTTCACATAATCATTTAGCTCTAAAAGCCATTGGTGAAGGTGGGATTCGGACCTGCTGAGCCTTCATCACAAATTTCCGTCGACCGCTTAGAAAAAAACCTGCGCGCCAATGCTAATAGCATTAGTGCGCAGGTTTTTTTCTAAGTGGTCAACCTATAGCGATTAGAGCTCAGGAAATTTGTCATCCTCCTATAGTGCAGCAATAGTCTGCTATTAAAATTAGTGTATAAATGTTGAATTACTTTTAAAGTCTTAAAAAAATATTTTGAGTATGTTGGTTGTATGTAAGAGTATGAGAATAGATGTATGAAACAATATTTATGTATTTTAGAGTTCTGAGTGTGAAAAAAACGCACTGACTGTTTTCACTGGGGAAGACGAAAAACCAATGTAAGTTAAATGCTGCTTTTTTACAACTCTTTCATTATTTTAACCCTTTGCGGTCAAATGGCGAGTATAGGTCACTGGGTGCCATTTTCCTGACTGCTTGAATAGCGACATATACTCGCCGAAAAATGTTTTAAATTACCATATTTTATTACCTAACAAAATCTTCATGAAGATAGAAGAAAAACAAGTACCTTTGCTGTAATTGTTTTTTGAAAATTTTAAATCTAGTATTTTGTTTTCCTTTAGGGCGCATTGTGGCTCAATGTCTTTCCACCAAAAGTCAACCTCCAACAAAATGATGATGAAACTTCACTCGAGCATGAAAAGTCGAGGAGGAAAGTTCTCCTGTGAGGTTCAAGCTGAGTCTGAAGCCATCAGTGCTCGAGCTATTGTCTACGATGACTGCGACTGTGGGTATTCCTACAGGGTATGTTTAAATTATTTTCTTTACTTTTAGCCTTGAATTTACCCATCCTCAGGACTGTAGTTAGCCAGTAAACTACAAGAAAAAACTGGACTAATCTTAGTAGTGGCATCGGGGAGCAAACCCAAGTGCAAACCTATGATATTTCTCAGTAAGTCACTGACGAATTAAACAAATCTAACAAATTTGGATAAATAGTATGGAATACATCAATAACTGTAAAAATCAGTGCTTTATTTTCAACCAAAATTAAATATAGTCTGAATATAAGACATAATACTGGTTATTACTTTCATCATTCACTGCATGGCTCACAGTCAATGGTTTTATTAAGTGCTGCAACAATCATCATATTATTTTTACTACAGAAACATTGTCTGATCACCTCAGATACTTAGGTAATTAGACATTACACTTTACTTTTGATATTATCTGTGGTATCGACAGAAATCCAGATTTCAGTACCAACTATTTAACTGTAGTTATTTTCTTTTCTCACTAAATACATATTCAAAAAATTCATATAATTTCAGACACGTATCGTCGGTGGGGAGGAGACGGGGATAAATGAGTTCCCGTTCATGGCAGGACTGATCGATGCACGACGCGGTGCCGTGATAGTGTGTGGCGCGACCATCATCAGTCCTCGGTACGTCTTGACAGCTGACCACTGTCTCGGAGGCTTGCAGCTGAACCAGACTGGAGTGGTGGTGGGGGAACATAACGTTAGCACAGGTAAGCCAACACCACTCATACTCATAACTCGGCTTTGTTTCTATAATTCTATGTAACTGAACTAAAACCTAGCAAAATTATAGATAGACCTAGATTCATAAGCGCCAACAGGGTGCATATTTTAAGGTGAAGATGAAAGATAGATGAGTGTTGAAATAATTAAATTACAGCTTTGTTACTAAGATATTAGTTTAACTAGTCGAGCAATATCCACTCTTCTGCCGATGATGATTCCCTTCCCTGCATCGATGTTTAAGTACTATTGTGGAAACATAAATCAGTAAAAAATTCAGCAACAGTATTTATTTGGAAATTGTTCTTTAAAAGTTTAAAATAAAAAAATAAATCTAGGAAGAGAGGGCAAGGCTTTGGAACAAGTTCGCAAGGTCCCACTGGTTTACCGTCAAACTAATCCTTGTCTATACTTACCTGGTATGGGATAGGTATTTTGTGTCGTGACCGAGACCATTAGCTATAAAACTTGTATAGTTAATGACAAAACTCATCTGAAACAACTGATTTCAAAAATTTTAATTGTAAACAAACAGTAACATTTTAACTGTTTCAGGATCGGAGACTACAGCAACAAAACTGATTAGAGCACAAAGGTTCATTCCTTACCCGTATTACAACAGCGAGACTAACCAGTACGATCTTGCTCTAATTGAGCTTGCCTCTCCAATAACATATTCCGCTCGGGTTGGACCCGTCTGTCTTCCATTTGTGTCGAGAGACTGGGATCTTACTGGCGAGTTTGTTAAAGTTTTGGGTGAGTGTTGGTGAAATGTAAGACTTAATTCAATGAAGTAACTTTAATTCATAAATGATTATGAAAAGATATTTTATCCGATACGGCCGATACGGGTAAAAATCGATACATGAGGATACGATACGATACACGTATCGATACACCACGTCCCGATACACAGTATCGATACATTGACCCGTATCGCACATCACTACTCTTTGTAGAACTAATGATGATGACAATGAGTTTTATTTTTATTTTATGGATGTAATATGGAGCTCAAGGGGTTTGATTACTGAGATAAACAATATCTCAATTTCAACTTATATTTATAGACTGAATAAGATCATAATTTAACCTGATTTTGATTTATTTATTGGAATTCACAAAAACTCCACAACGTGGTTTAATGCCTGTAAATTGGTTAATTCATCGTAATTTTCTATGGGAATTTAGTTTTTTATTGGCATTGATAAGGAAAACTGCATGTTGTTAAATGAGTTTATATGAATAAAATGTAAGTGTGTTTTAAGCCTTATAACATCTTCCACATGGCATATTTGGCAGTGGTACGAACTGGACAGTGATACAAAAATCAGGGATTTAAAAATCAAAAGCAGATGCAATTAAAAGCCAAAAGTAATGCAAAATTTGTATAATTTTTTTTCACTACAAAAACTTAATTAATAGCCGAGACGACAAAAAATATTTTAAGTAGGTATCAAGCATTTGTAAGAAAAAAATAGTCCTAGTACTTATAAGAAGAATTCAAATATTTTTGTATTGTCAAATACATAATAAAAAAACTCCTAAAATTGGTTCAATTTCGTAATTGATTTTTATTTTGTAATAGGCATTTTCTGTCAACTTTCAAACCAAAGAGATTTACATGACCAGAGTTTGCATTGTTCTATGTTACAATAGGAAAATACTAATGAAAAACTATTGAAGACTTGAACCTTTTATTTTTAGTTTTTATAAACTTTAAATATTATTTCCACAGGTTGGGGAACAACAGAGTTCGGAGGTCCAAGATCAAGAGTGTTGAGGAAAGTGGATTTACAGATAATTGATATTCAAAGCTGCATCGACGCATATGGCGGTGACATTGATCCATACACACAGCTGTGTACATATAGGGAAAATGCTGATGCTTGCCAGGTATAACACAGATCTATTACAACCTTTCAACTGGTCAAGATTTAAGATTTCTATCGTCAAATCACAACTACACTGGTCGCATATGACCAACGTATACATTTACATAAGTACCTAATATTAAATTAATAAGCAATATAGTATAAGTATCGTAGTTAGTTAATCAAAGTTAAATTGTTGAACAATTGGGAAATGTCCAAATTTAAAATGATGAATCAAAAATGTAATACATTGTTTTGTGAAATCTAAAAGTAATCTAAGTTACAGTTTCAAAACAAATTATTTGTAGACCCAGCTTCAAGAATATTAATCAATAACCCTAATGATTGCTTTAGTTATTGATTTAAGTTGTGGACTTATTGGTGCGACATCCTCAGGAAAAGAGAAGCACTTGAAACTCAGCTGTAACGGGTTACTTTACAGATAACTCATTTTCTGATTATTTAAATAGTTTCTATTTTACTTTACGTTCTTTCCCAAGTTCGACTCTGGTGGACCCCTTCTCTACTTCAACAGCAACATCAACCGTTACGAGATCGCAGGTTTAGTTGCCTACGGAAGAGGATGTGCCTCGGAATTCCCAGGAGTCAATACTAGAATTGCTCCTTTCCTACAGTGGATACTCGATAACACACAGAGTAAGTAATTTCCATTCTAGCTCCTGGGCTTGGAACACTCATGACTAAAGCCTTCCCACCCTAACTTCACCCTAATTTATACATGGATGCTCACAAGGTTTATGGGAAATGTAAAACACTACAATAAGCCACAAAGATAGGCATGTTTCTTACACTTTGTGTAAAGCACTGCTACCGAAACCCAGCCATCGGCAGAGAAAGTTCCCTGCAGTCATAGTAAGTTGATTAGCCAAGTGATTTTATCCAGCACTGGGACTCAGATATGCTCAATTTTTAGATATTATTTATTGTTTGTTTAATACCACAGAAATTACACAATAATTTTGATGTTGTCACAAAGGAAAAGGGTTTGGGTTGGAGAAGCCGGTTTTTGCAATAGTTACCAAAAGTTGCAAAAAACTGAGAGAGAAAATAGAATTATAGGCATATTAATTATTAGCACACTCATACTATGTTAATTTTGATTTAAAAGTTAGCCACAGCTGGTACACTTAGATGGGTATTAGGTACAGGACTACTGTTCTTGGTTTTAGGGTTCACAGAAGCCATAGAAACTGATCGTTTGGATTTCATATCATCTATCTATACTTATTTAATACGCAAGCAGGTTTTTTGTGACAATTACTCCTCCGAAACTACTGAACCGATTGACATGTTTTTGGTGTCATTGGAAAGAGCTTAACATGCAGTTGTGCAGGAAACTTTCTTTTTATGGAAATAATTAGAGAGTGAGGCCCTGGGGCCATTTAAAGTTTCGTATTTCTCCATAAGATTAACATGGGAAACAAACATTGTTATGAAACTCCAGCTGTTGTCAGAAATTAAAAGTGAGAGGAAGAACATATGTTAATTGTCAAATTGTGACAGAGAGATTATGCAAAAAATCAGGTAGGTAATGGATATTTGGTGCTATTAAAATAAAGACAGAAATTTGTAAACATACTGGCGACAATGGGTGATACCATGCAGACTATATTATGATTGACAAAGATCAACATGGACAACCTATTGCGGCTATAAGTGGGAAACATTTCTACAATACACTAAAAGCCAGATCAGCTTTTGAAAAATGATAAAATATTTACAAGAAATGTTGATTATATTGAACTGAAGTACATTGTGAGTATTATCATTAGTTACGTAATCTTTGAGTTGACTCTTTTAAACCCATGGGAATTTATAACTTATATTTGGTCTTAAATAAGTTATTTGTTTTTAAATAACTCCTTTACTTCTTTGCGATTGCTCGATTTCGAGCAACATGTACACTAGTACTTATTTAATACGCAAGCAGGATTTTTGTGACAATTACTCCTCCGAAACTACTGAACCGATTGACATGTTTTTGGTGTCATTGGAAAGAGCGTAACGTGAAGTTGTGCAGGAAACTTTCTTTTTAGGCAAATAATTAGAGAGTGAGGCACTGGGGCCCTTTAAAGTTTCGTATTTATCCATAAGATTAACATGAGAAACAAACATTGTTTTGAAACTCCAGCTGTTGTCAGAAATTAAATATTAATATTTGGTCTCCATGGAAGCATGAGAAAATTCACTATGTTTACATTTGCTTTGACATTTAAATGTAAACAACCAGAACTGTCAAATGCCTATTTTACAATTTCAGGCAGCTGATCCAGAAAAATAAAATTACTATGTGGTAGGTTTATTTAATCTTAAACTTTATGATAGATTATTTATTATAAATCTATTTTCAATGATTATGAAACCATTGCCCCGTTGCGAAGCAAAATTAAAAGTGAAAAGAAGAACACATGTTAACTGTAAACAGTCAATGTGTAAATTATCTATGTTGTATTAAAGATGTGTATAGTTTTGGATGTTGGTTTGTGTTTAATGATATAAATTATAAAATTTTTATTTTAAGGATTTGGCATATGAGTAAGCATGTGATAAATAACACCATTTCAGAGTTCTGCCAGTTTTTGAGTAGTTAAAGTAGCCTACACCTTATCGTCTACAAATTAGCTAAATAACTTAGGTACGGCACTTTATAAAATTTGACAGCCTTTGTACGTAGACTTAAATTGTAAGCTTTCCTTTTCCCGTCCATGGGCAGGTTGATTGTTATAAATTAACTCTTTAAACTGGAATAGGATTGTTATATAAATTGTTAGTATTTCCATTAGTTGACTACTAAAAACTACCTATTTAGTTCACTCTTTTAAAATCATCGGAAATTATGACTGTTATTAGTTTCTAAACAAGTTATTTGTTTATAAATAACTCCTGTACTTCTTTGCAATTGCTCGATTTCGAGCAACATGTACACTAGTAATATGTAAATATAGATGCCTATATTACTTTCAATATTAGTAGCCCTACTAGAAAAATTGAACAGGGATGAAATTTGGCCTGGATAGCTTTTATTATCTGGAATAGGACTTCCAGGCTAAGCTCTGGAAGTTCCTGAGCTTGTGTTGAATGAGATGAATAAATGAGATTTTTATTTGCCAGGTAATATTCCATACAAATACATTGGCACGTTTGTGTAAGTAAACCAAGCTTTTTGAATATGTACTAAAACAATCGTGATCTGACCGGGGGGAAAGGCGGTTGTAAGAATTTTGTGAATCAAATGCAAGTTTGTTTGTACTACTAATTTTTATAATTCAGGTCTTGTGACCACTGCTTATGTACTCTGGCTACTAAAATGTTTAATGCTAGACACTTCATTTATTTACATGCAAAAACTAGCTTATGTTGGTGACTACTGATGGTTTCTATTGCTTATACTTGGCTTATTAACAGGTGAAACCTACTGCTATAGAAGTGCCAACTGAAAAGGAAAACATCCATCTACGTGCCAAAATATTTGTAAATAAATTTATTTATTTCCCTTCAATAGTCGTCACACTTGTTTTAGCTCAGTCCTTTTCCTCTATCTTATTTAAATATATCCTATATTTTTCTGTTTTTACAGATAATTAATTTCCTTTAACAGAGCCAAATCCAAGGTATTAAGAGTTGAAGACCTGCATCACTCAAGTTATACTTAAATAGACATTCAATAGGTCCAGGTGGGTAAAAAAGTGTGTATTCGTCAGAAATCCAGTAACTATCCGCACACCTTGTGAGATGCTCAACTACTGTATATTTATTTTTGTTCTAAAATTAGCTCAAACATTAACATAGGAATGGAACAGTTTTAAATAAAAAATTTGACTTTCTAATGTGCAGGTCACAGGATTCTAACAAAAGTCAACGGAGTCATTAAAACCTACAATTAAAACATATCATAAACACTTTATTGGTCATATAATAAACATACAATGATGTAGCTTCTATACAATATCATACAACTGTACAAATAGGCTCATCAAAAAAATAATCTCCGACGTTCACTATGTACGCATATACAAACAGTTATTTACAAACTATACATAATTCAACACTAATTAACACCACTATAATATTTAATTAGGGTGTTGCAAGCATGATAGTAGCTTTCAGTTTTATTATAAAATATTAAAATATTTCCCTCGAAGGTACAGGAAAGTTATCATACATTGAAAATTGATGACAATATAATTTCCTGGTATCATATTTTCTGTAATTTTCTCACGTAAATCTACCTAATGTTTTAGGCTATTTAAAAGAAATATTGGTTGTGAATAATAGAATTGAGATGAGTATTTAAACATCTTAAGTTTGATCAATACTGTATGATTAAAATTTTTGTTACTTAGTTGTAATATAAAATGTTTACATTACTTCAATTTACAAAGACTGCTTTAAATATTTGAAATAAAAATAATAAAAACTCAAATTTAGGCCTACTTAAAAGAATTTTTCAAAATATTCTAATATCCTGCCTATTTTACATCCTCACTAAATGTCTCAGATACCTCTAAAACACCACTATAAAAGAGATTCCATCTACAAACATACAAAAGTTGGGATAAAACTAACCTGTACAAAAATATATATATATATAAATTGCAGGAATGATGAACGGCTTTACAAAAAGCACAAGTACATAAAAACACTTACAATTAAAATCTCGTCAACATTATTTTCCATTCATTCATTCGCTGTAATTTGTTACATTTTTACCAACAAGATAAAATTCTGTGTTATAAATTATTTTACACAACAAATGCATTGTAATTTAGTGTTTTATTACTGTTATAAAATGTGTAAGTAATAAAACAGGAAGCAATCACCACACTAATTATTCAAATCCTGGCAAGAGAACCAGAAACTTTCAAGTTTTCAATAAAATCACAGTTGTTGATCTAGCTTTACAAATCTAATCCAAAAAAATGTGATGATTTCAAAAATTTTACAAATAATATAAAGTTAATTACCTTAATACAGGTATAGCCATTTACCTTAATATATTTTTTAGAGGGGAAAATTGCAGTGGTCGATTTACTGTGTAAAAATATCAATTAGTGAAACAAACATATTAGCTACTGCAACGAAACAAAACACATCTCAATGCACATAATACTAAAATTCAATAAACTAACTTAACAAATTTCAAAATAAACAAATTCTTCAATTTAACAAATGTGACAACCGAGAATAATGATACAGAATGGTGCTCGTTTCAAGAAGAAATATTTCCATATGTTGAGGGGGGGAACGAGCTGGTCTAATGGTTAGAGCGTGGGATTTCAGTCCCTGAGGTCCCGGGTTTAAATCCCGCCAAGCCACCAATGGATTTTATCCAAGTGATAATGTCGCAACTCCTAGGTCTAGCCTGAAGTAATGTGAAAAATAATTCCGGGCTCGTGCCTAGCGTCTTAGGAGAAATAATCAACATATGTTGAATTTTTGACAAATGCAGTTCATTACCTAAGTGTCACTTGTAAATGATGTCTGGGTGGGCCAAAGGCCTAACTCACACAATTTTAATACCTGATTAACAAATATAAAAAATTTATAGGGGGTTTTCCAAGGTTTATTATTGATTTTTACAAGCTTTAACTAAAAAATTAATTTATTTTTACAAAAAAAAAGAGAAAAATAGGTGATCAAATAACTTTTTTTAAAATTTATGTGCTACAATGGGCCCCAACTCTAAGTAACCTTACTAACTCGATCTATTTTTATTGTATAAAAAAATGTTTAATTTTCATCTAAATTGAATTGTTCACAATTCCTTACTTTGGAAATCAAGACAGGTATCTAACTACATTTTACACTCCTCCTTCATTAATATTTGGGTTCATATTTCATCCCAGTTGCTTTTCTACCTATATTACCAATGAATTAACAATATTAACATTTTGCCATTAACTTTGGTAAAAGAACACATCACCTAACTAATCCAACAATAATAATTAAAGCTCTACAAGAGCCAGACCCTTATTCAAGGGTTACAAACTGTATAAAAACAACTTTCAAATCCATACGTTTAAATAGGTACTTTCATTCGTTGATAAACAAGTTTACAAGGTAATCCGAAACACTAACTTAAAACGAGAAGTTACTAAATTTATCTTAAAAGGTGGAAAATGTTTAATCTAACTTAAACTTAGCTCTTATGCTTATATGATGTAAACTAGTTAAGTATGTCTTTGCTAATATTTTGTTATGTATGCTAGTGATATTTTTGTATTTACTATAACAGAAAGCTAAAAAGCTAAGTTAAAATTTATACTGTTTGAGTGCAATTTATTTTTGCCAGTTTTATTAGTGGTCATACTTTCACAACCATAGGAAGCGGTGCAAAAAACAATTGCACACTAGGATAGCAATAAAATTTATCTTTTAGTAAAAACCTTCCATAAAAAAATGTTTGCCTAAGTGTAATAAAACATTAGACATTTTTAAGTATAGTATTTAAAATTAGGAAAATTAATGGAAGTTGAATATAGCCACACCTAATAAAAATTTTAGGCTTATTTTTCAAGCAGAATCGAAAAATAGAATCCGTTTTTGTCAAAAAAAGTCCTAAGAGTTCAAAAAATGTAACAAAAACTGAACTAACTAAATTATTTAAAAATAGTAGCATTTTAATAATTTACTACATTGTGTTTAATACACTATTCCCATTGTTCAAAAACAGTCTGGGGGTGAAATAAAAAATAATTTGATTCATTATTTATAACCTAAACTTTGCCTTCCCTAACCTGAATTCATCACAGTCATGATTGAATAAAAACTGATTAGTATGCAATGATAAATCATCAAATGCATTTTTAAATGCCTTTGGCGTTTGGCGTTATAATCTTTACTGGTTTAAAAAATGTTCTTCCTTTAATGATCTCCTAGCCTCTCCTTAAGCTTCTTGTGAAAAATACTGTATGAAAACAGATAAAATATGATTTTTGTAAGGTGAGACTATACTCAACCTATGCTGGAAGATGAGATTAATTTTTTTACAGTCAAAAATCTCATATCACCAACTATAAAATTAATTGTTATTGAATCCTTTTAAACTTTTCATAGTGCATTTTAAAGTCTGTAAAGCTTTAAAAAATTCCATACTGTAAACAGGTTCATTTTAAATTGGTTATCGGGCAAAAAAGTTATTTGAAACTAGTTTTATATTCATCCCTACAAAACCTTTTACTGCCACAAATTAATAGTAATAGAGCTAATAAACTTTGTTCTGCCTACTCATTTACAGTAAAAAGATGAACATGATACTTATACACTATCCCATTTCATTAAATTTATTATTATTATGTTCTCTTTATAATCCTTACTGTTTGTATGATGGTACAACAAGATATTACATACCCACATACATAGCACTAAAGCGACCTCTCAAAATATATTGAATCACATTGTTCAATTGTGACCTTAAAAAATGGTGCAATATTTTAGAATACAGGTATTTTCATTTCAAAAGGTCATTTCACAACTATAAGCTAGAAACAAATTTAACCCGTAAAAATGTAATGTTAAAAAAAGTTAAAGTAAAATGCAATTCAATGGTCTTTACAAAGGCACTACATTTTATCTAATGTTGAAACACAGGGATTAAAAATTTGTTACCTCCCAAAGAATAGACGTTTTTACAACCTATTTTAAAACATTATCTTTAAACACAGTTCAAAAAAATTTAGTTGCCACATGTATCACCAATAGTCAAGCCAAAATCAGTCATCGTCAAAATTTGAGCAATGCATTAGCTTAAAGTTTTTACAGAATAATTTCAAAATGTCTCTCTCTACAGCATGCCTTGTAAACAATATGTACAACTTAGTCATGTACGTGTTGAATTGAAATAAAAATCCCATAGAGCTAAGAAAATGTTTACATTGTTCTCATTTTTACTATACATTTTTGGCTCATTACTCTAATGACAAGTAAAATAAATAAAATAATATAAAATTTGCATATAATAAATAGATTAGATGAAATAAACAGATAGATAAATACACAAAAAATGTTACTAAAAAGTAAAAAAAAACATGATTTAGGGGAAAATACAACATTTCTCTTTTTTAGTGTAACATAAATGTCTCCATTTCAAATGATTTACAATTACTTACATTAAAAATCACAATTAAACTTTGATAATAACCAGCCAAAGTCAAGCATACATGTGTCTTATGGTACAAAACAAGTTTTTTTTAAATTTAACTGGTGGACGGCATCAGTTATTGATCATGTGAAAAGTTCATGGCTACATTTATACGTATGTTGTAAAAAATCACTTAGAGTTTGTGAATTGAAAGAACAATTAGTTTGGATTATATCATAGACTAACCAACACCAGTACACTTCTCATCTTATTGTTCAATTTTTTCATGCCTAGTTCATGTTGGTGATGCTGGGCAGTAGTGTAAACGAAATTTTGTTTCTATATTATTTCAGGGTTAATTTTATGATTTCCGCAATACTGTTTATTATGTTACTAGGAGACGAGTTATTGTTTATGATTAGATCGTTTTATTTGGTTAAACAAGGTTTTAAATAACTGAAATAGCTTGAAACAAATTCTAAACAAAAACATGATCCAAATGTAACTAACAATAAAATTGTCTTCACCTATAAGGATGACAAATGGGAGTATGTTTTCTTTGTGGTTTTATTTAAAATAAACCTGCAATAACAGTTAAAATTCAAAATCCTACAAAGGAAGTTTTAGCTTAGGCTTTTTTTTAAGATATTGGTACACTTTTTTTGCAAAAATTTCCTTGCCCAATTGTTAACGATATAGGCTATTCAATTGTTACCGAATACATAAAAAAACAAAAAAAAAACTAAAAGCAAATGGAGGTAGATTAGGAATAGCTATTTGTTTATCGAGCACAAAGATGGTCATTGCCGCTCGAGAACTGTAGATGAAAGCTTTGTGAGACCATACGTTTCCAGAGCGGGATGACTGTTTAGTGTTCATTCTTTTAATACCCACAAAATGTTTCCTACAACCACAATTTACTTATCAAAACAAACAGTTTAACTTTTGTTTATTTTTTTAGGTTATGTTATTTGGTTACCAAATGTACGGTGGGGCACACGGGAGGGACTAAGGCTAACATATCTTGTAGTGTCAGCGTTCGCCGCTAGAACTGCTAAGTTAAAAAATTTTAAATTATTTTATTTTTATTTTATTTTTAGTTATAAAATTAACTTTTTAATTATAAAATTCGTTTTTAATTTTTAAAATTAAACTGTCATAACATAACCTAACCAACCAGACTTGCTGATAATATAAAAACTATAAGATAAAAATCTTATTAAATGATTACTTATAATTTTTAATTATTAATAAAATTAATTTTAAAATTTAGTATTATAAAATTAAACTATCATAACCTAACCTAACCAACCAAACTTGCTGATATGAAAAATTTGTTGACAAAAAGTTAATGCCGCCAGCGGGATTCGAACACGGAACATCCTGAACACCAATCCGTAACGCTACCAACTATGCCACGAACGCCGCTGAAATCATGTTGTTTCGTTACGGTAATCGTGTTGCCTCAAGAGAAGACATTAGCCACTAGCGATATGACGTCACTACACCTTTAGCCTTAGTCCCTCCCGTGTGCCCATTCCACCAAATGTAAGTTTTTTATAGAAACATCAACAGTGAAATCAGCTGATTTAACGAGCAGGAATGGCCATTACTGCTCACGAACATGAGCGAGAACAAATAAAACGGAAATGAGCAATTTTGCGTACTGTTTACAAGTGTGGCAATGTGATCATTTCCATGCAGTGGAAGGAAAAAGTAATTTTAGACCTTATAGTGGGAATTTCAGCATGAACACATCACGCTACTTCTACTTACATTACAAATTATCTTTCCTCTTTATAAGGCCGGCTTGACTTCCGGCACCAACTGATGAAGTGGATTCCTCCAGGGAGTCCAAGTCCAGCGCAGACTCTATCATAGTCGTGTCTTGCAGAAGACGCAGCCTACTGGCAGATAGTGGGACTAGTGATGTTGTGTCGGGTTCCAGACCGGCCGAGACCACCACATCGTCCAAGTAGAGATCTAGTTCCGACAGATCCATCTTTGGCTCTTCAGACGGTTTCACAAGATCTGGGTTTGAGATGATAACTTGATCGCAAACGCTCTCGTAAATACCGGGCATGTCCCCACTGAGCAGCATACTTCCACAGTCACTACCTACAAGCAAAGTAGAGAGTTAGATTGTCTAGAATATAGTGTCGGAACAAAATGTAGGCCTATATTATAGAGAGGTGAAAATAATAAAACTACATTAAAACAAATTGTTCACTATACAAGTGTTATCTATGGATTGAGGTCTGCATTGAGCTCCTGTAGCAGCTCAAATACGAGACAACATGGGGTTTTTTACTTCATCCACTATTTTATCTGGTTCCCACACCTATGAAACGATTATCCTCTGTCATAGTATTCTAAAACGCTGAAAGAAAATTGAGAGTCCCGACAAGTTCAAATTTTGCTCCGTGATTATATTTCTGTAAAAGGGGTCAATCGATGTTACAACTGTTGCCAACTAACAGATGTGTAAAAAGAAAAATGTTTCAAGGTAGAAAATGTGCAAAGTAGCTTAGGAAGTTTGTAGAAGGCCATACATACACTTTTACACAAAGTGGCCAGTAGCGGGTATCATCAGTTTCCACCGAGACAGTAATTGATTTTGAGGAAACTGCTTACTGATCGGTGTGTTTCAGACTTCCAGGGCTTACCGTAGACACTGAGAGTCTAATGGAGACGTCTCCAATTAATTCGACAATCCCTCTCGTTCAATCATATGGCAAATCATAAAAAATTCTCTTAAATTCGGACACTGATCATTGATACTTATGAACAACAGTAGTTCGATTATAGAATATTATAATATAGAATATAGAAGCATCCACAGCGGCGGTTTTATAGAATATTATTTACAAAAGGAGCAAACAAAAAACCATGAAATAATAGCATGGCATTATTTGGGTAATTAGTTAAATCGCTAGTGAAATGAAGAAATCCACAAACTACAGACAAAACTGAAATGTAGTTTTATAATGAGTTCAAACTGTTAATATCACTGCAATACACTAGCAATAAAAACATTAAATCACTGTTTAAAATGGTCAAATAAAGCTGACAAACATTGACAAAAGTAAAATTGTTCATACATTGAAGGATATTACATGCTTATGATGGTCAGACACAGAAAATCCAAATTCAAATCACAAAAATTAACTAATTTTGAATCATAGTAGGCCTACAATTTTTATAGCATTTTCAAGTTTATTAATAGATAAATTTTCTCCATTATTTACTCTATTTTGAATCAATTTGAACACTTTTAATACATTTTTCATAACCGTTTACTCCATAATCTTAGAGACATCGTAATCATCAGACCTGATAAAGAAACATTGTGATCATTTCCCAGGATTGTGATATAATGAGGAAAACTTGATTCCATTAAGTTTGCTACCTTGAGGGCTGTGGTAGAGCAGGTTTAACTAAATATGACTATGAGACTTAATTCCTTAACTCAAGTACTTAAATTAGAATTTGAATCATTCATTGAGATTTGATGGATTCGGCTTCAAACTTTGACATATCACTATTAGCTGAAAAAACATTTTTCTATCTTTATTTCCATTGCCAAATTGATCCACTAACAGTTACCTCATGTTCAAATGCAAGCTCATTCACCCTGTACATAGGGGATACATCTAGTATTAGACGAGTTACAAATACACACTGTTACGAACACATTCAGAAAATGTTCAAAATACTTACACTTAACCACTTTTCACCTCATGACAGCACCAACAACAACAGTGAGTGAGAAATGATGAAATAGACAATACACATTGGCAAACATTCCAACATACAGATATAACTATACTTAAGTATATATTATCTTTATTAAAAAGATTTAAACGTTGAGAATGTTTTATTGAGCACCAAGAGTGTAAAAGAGAAAATTTTATAATATTCATTTATAATGTCAAATGTTAGTCAATTCCATTACTAACTAGTAGACTTATTAAAGTGTCGATGTTCCCATAAAAAACGAATGAACAATAAAAATGTAAATATATTTTAGTTCTAATGCAGATCACAAATTTTGAGCACAAAATAAATACAGTTTTCAGGCGTGTATTGGAATTTTGATGACATTTTATTTATCCACAAAATAGTCCCATTTTAATTAATAAAAAGAGTAATTGACCTTATAGGTTAAGATTTTATAAAAGAAGTTGATGGTCTTAACATTTTAGGCACAGTCAAGTTTACACAAAAAACAAATTAGAAGAAATACATTAAATTTTTAGGGCCAGAATTTAAGTAATTTTAAAGCAATTAAAATGGACAAATTTTGTATTCGATTGAGTAAGAAGTAAAAAATGATTCAAGATCAAAACTAATTTTAAAACAAATCAAATAGAGGGCATTTTAATTCCGTTGACCAAGGAGTAATAGATTGTTAAGTACCAAATCATAAATAATGTAATTCTAAATCCATCTAGCCTATATTTTATAATTTTGCCAATACATTTGATTTTCAAATTTATTAAATCGCGCCAATTGAAAGCTGAATCTTACCAGTTTTAACCTCCCTATCAATAATAACTTATACAAAATCTTTAAGCAAACAAATAGGAATATTATTGTGTTTCATATGTATAGTACAATATTACTTTTAAATGTAAATAGTGTAGCATTCTAGTCATAAATATCTTGCATGAGCTTGTTTAAAGGATTTGTTGTTTAAGTAAAAAAAAACCCTTATAACTCTAAATATTAGAAAAGTATTACTATATTCAAGGCCTACCTTTGCATCAATTGATAAAGGTAATCAACCGAAAATTGTAAGTTATACATTTCTACTCTAGATCGTCATCACTGTCGCTGGTAGTGATCGCGTAACTTGTTGCCAAGCTGGTCAATATTCTGCCCCCGTTGTGTTCCCTCCCCCCGCCTCCCCCATATTGCTGAAGAACTTCCCCGAGCCCCAGCATTCCGAAGCTGGGAACCACGTATCTATCCCTGTACACGGACGGAGGCGACCGCATCAAATACGTCTGTTCCCTTGTACTGTATCGCGGATAGTTGTTGATGTTTCTCGGAAGTGTTCTAGAGTACTGAGTTTGGTGTGGCGGCCGCACATGAACACGCCTCGGCAGACTACCGTGGTAGAGATACGCACCGTTGATGGAAGGTGCGACTGCGCTGCACACCGCTGGCACGTGGGGAATGGTGGGGGGCAGTGGCGGACTCGGCATCTCCGGGCTGGGGCTCGTATCACTGGGAAGTGGCTGCAAGACAGTCACTCCATTCTGGACAAAAGAAAGGTTTAAGCCTTTTAATAAAATCGTTATAAATCTATGAAAACGACAAACTAAAATTATTTAATTAATAGGAGTTCTTTTTTTACTTGTAATATATTAATAATTTTCGTTATAAGAACTTAATATTAAAGAATCTACATCCACTGAAATTGGCAAAAGTTTAGCTCCTTAGGACATCTGCTCTCCTACTACATCACACAATAGATTTAGCTTAGCCTTAGAAATTAATGTGTCATGTATATACCAGCTATCATAATTATAAGACACATACTTCCATGCCCATGCCTTACATTATCTTATCAACGCCATGCCTGTTTGTAAAAATGATATGTGTAACAAAGGTTTTGGGTGGTTAATGCATTTAATATTGAATGGAATTAATTCTAGAAAGTTCAAACATGAATAAATGATTTTATTTCCATAAAAAATTACAAAGTAAAAACAATTATTTTAATATTGGAAATAAAATTGACCACTTTATCAAGTTGTATGGCCAGTAGGAAAAATATTAATAATCTAAAATAAATATTTAATCAGCCTATATACACTTGTCTAAATAAACATTGGCTATAAAATTATATTGGCATTCTAAATAGTTTTCCAAAGATCACTCTGGCTCATATTTATGGTTGTTTTTTTCAGGGAAGAAAACTCAAGGGGGTTTTCTTAATATTTTTGGTTGATTACCTTTAGTATACTGATTAGTTAAAATTTGAAAAAGTGTAAGGTATGATTTTTGTGTTTTACTTATGAAGAATCTGTCTTTGAAGTTTCATGTATTAAAATTGAAACTTTATATTGTAGTTTCTGTTTATAGAACACCACATCTTGCAAATTTTATTTCTTTACAAATTAGAGAGCTTATCAAACATTTTAAAAAAATGCCACAAAAACAAAGAACACCAACCAATAAGTCCTTAGCATTGTAGCCTACTACAATATATGAAATACAAAGATACTTTCAGCGATGCTCGCTTTGAAGCCAATAAATACATCGTTGCTGTGAGCAATCCTGCACTAAGAGGGCTAATTTGAAGTTTCCTAAAACCTGTGTTTACATAAACAATTAAGTATGGTTTAGTGTTGTGCAGCCTGTAGTGCTGTAGTGTATACGGTTCAGAGACTCGGTCTTTCACAAAAAAATCAGGCTTTTGGACCAATAAAAGACGGAGACTTGTCGAGAATAAGAAAAAAATAGGGAGTTGAGGGAATTATATAAGGAACCAGATATTGTGGGAGTGGTTAAGAGTAGAAGGTTGAGGTGGCTGGGCCACATTCAAAGCAGAGGTGAGAGAGATATGATAGAACAAGTGATAAGAGGTACTCCGGGAGGGCAGGAGACCATCGGGAAGACCAAGGATGAGATGGATTGACAAAGTTACAAGGGACCTAAAGAGTATGAGAGCAGACCTGGAGCTGGCAGAGGACAGAGGATCCTGGAGGCACATGGTTGACGAGGTCAAAGACCACCTTGGTTTTCAATGGCCAGAGGAGTAAGAGTAAGAGTAAGTTAGTGTTGTGGTTTACCTGTACAACTTGTGGTAATGACCCGTACGTCCGGTTGTTGGCTATGACAGCTCCAGGCCGGGTGTCTGAGTCTAGGAACTCTGTAGTCACCACACCTCTGCGATCTAGACAAAACATACAATCATGTAACACCTGCTGAGGCAAGTACAATAATAAGCTTCTTATTAGAAACTGGAGTCAATGATTGTGGATACTGCAAGTAGACCCTTCACACTACAGTATTGTATCTAAATCTGAACCCTATTTTTGTGCATTTTGTGTTCTGTGTATTTCAGTGTGCTGATGTAGCTGAATGTTTTTCTCTTACTTTAGGGTAAAGTTTACAGTGAGAAGCTCATTCTCTGCTTGCTAACGACGAGTAATGGGCGTTGAAAAAAATTGACACTCTAGATTGATACACAATGAATGGTGATTGTACAAAGAAAATCTGTGATGTACATTTTCTTTAAACACAATACAACTTTTTGTTTTGGATATTTAAATAGCTTATTCTCTATATGGGAAATTCGCTAAAAAACAAACAGTTTACCGATGAGGCTAGGTGGGGAGGGGGCACACAGCACATGACAGCAGTTGGAACAAACATTCCCATAGCTGTACGGGTTGAAGCTGGCTTGACCCCGTTTGGACGTGAATGCACCTTTTATCTGAAAATACAAATATCAATTTTAAACTCACAACACTAACTAACATAAATCGTAATCACTTCTCATAATCCAACTGTAAAAAATATGAAATATGCGTTTGTTGTTAAAATAAATTAGTACAAAAATATATATGTCTTTTGTACAGGATCTCGATCAGAGAAAACTCCATGAGCAGAAAAAAAATCTAAAACTAAAAAACTTCGGGCCATGACACTCCTAAACAAAATTTAAAAGAAAATTGTATCAATTATGTACATTTTCTTGGTACGGGCATTGACAATAATTGGATGGGCTACGAAACATTGAATTTATAATAATTCATTCAAAGTTTATTTTAAAACATAATGTTTTCTTTTCTTACCAAGTTAATTTGAGGAACAACTGCTATGGTTTATTCTCAAAATCAAAAAACGTACAATGCAACTAATACTAATACCACTACACCTTTAATACTAATTCTTGCAAATATTAACACCATGTTTAGTATGACAAACTTTCCTTTTTTTAGTTTTTTACACAAACAATTAAAAACAAAAGTTTTGGGTACTGTATTTGAACAGATTTCCACGATTAAGAAAGATTTTTGGTTTCTCTCTAAAGATTTATTAAAAACATTTCATCTGTCCAGTAGGGGTGTGCGAGTACTCGAATCTTCGAGCTTTTTGGTCGAGCTTTTCATTATTCGGCTCGGCTCGAGGCGTTTTGAAAAAGCTCGAAGTTCGAGCCGAGCTTTTAATACAAAGTCAAAACACTTAATTTGGGTCATAATTGAAAACAATGTTATCACAATTCTACGTTGTTCATGCATCCGAGGTTTGATAAGCACGAACCTCAGCTCAGTCAAGACGCAATGATTATCGATCGTAATTTTGAGGAGATAGGAAAGAGACAAACGACCACCTATCGCGTTGTCTTTCTAACAGCTATTCGTATCGTAATATACAACGCAGTGCGAGTGCGTGATTGGCTTGTCGCTATGACGACACACGGTTGCCATGACAACCTACAGTGCGCACTGAGCACTGCGCCTTGTGTGGTGTGGGAGGGAAGATTATACCAACAATTTCAGGAATTCTATTTTGGGACGGATGAAAGATAAGGAAGAAACAAAAAGTGGTCACATGAGCAAATGTAATGGGCGACACAATAAGGCTGTAAACGAGTATCGTCGTGTCGTTGTTCCTTGTTTGTTTACTTTTTCAGATTCCTTATCAAACGCCCCTATCTGCTATCTCTCTATTTCTCTCTCTCTCTCTAACAATGTACTGATTAAACAGATTGTGGTTGAAGACTTATTTTACTTATAAGTGGTGTGGATTCTACTTATAAGTTTATTTTAGTTCAATCAATCCTATAACCTTTCTAATGTTTATCAAAATAATTAATTATCTGTTTTGTATTTTATTTCCTTTAAACCAACCCCTATTTACCATATGTATTTAATAGAATAAAATGTTTGTTTATAAAGTTTGACTGACCACACAATTTTGTACCTTTTTTATTTTGTATAAAGTAACAGTTACCTTGATGATTATATTTATCAATAAGTGGTGCGTGCTGTAGTGAATGCTTTTTATTATCAAAATAAGTAATGAATTATTAATTTTTGATAATAATACATGGGTCATTGAATACCATAATGTGATGTAGTTTCCTATTTCAGTAACTTGCAAATAATAATAATTGATGGTTAATTCTGGAAAATGAAAAATAGTGATCGCATTCATAAACCTGTTGTCAAAACAGCAACACGGGTGTAAGGGTTTATTGTTTCATAGGGGTACAAAGGACGTGGGTGTTTCAAGGACAAAGTGTTGGGCCTCCCGGTTTAGGGGGGAGGGGTGGTGGTGAGACTGCAAGAAGGGGAGGAAACTGGTTTTGGCTATTTATTGATTAGTTCTCCGACCCTTCTAGATAACAAAATTGAGTGACAGTGTTAATTCATTGTGTTCTTTATTTCATTTCTTGTTTACTTTGTGTATTATTCTATTAATTTTAGTGTTTTGGTCTATTTCCTCCATATGTCAATTATATCTTTTTTAATATAAGTTTACTTTTTACTTGTCTCTCCACCTTTTTGGATCCAAACCAACTATGTTCTTTTTTGATTAATACTATTGATAAAACTAAAATATTTTGTGCATGGAAAACAACAAGAATAATCACGTGTTTTTAAATTTATTTTGTATTTATACAAAATAGAATTAAATATTCATATTAGTTACAATATACATAATAATGTAATCAACTTGCTAGTTGTTTTGTCGTCATTCAAGGTCGTGTTGCTGTTCTGTTATGAAAGACAACCTGATTGTCTCAGCTCAGTCTGCACTGCATATATCGTCAGGCCTTCAATTATCCTTTTATTTCTTGCATCGTTCTTATCGTGATTATCTACTATTTGATGTCTTGACAATTCTCAATGTTTTTAAACATATTAAAATAACATTGTGTTTATTTAAAAATTGACTGAACATTATTATTATGCAATTTTTTAAGGAAAAAAAGTTTAATAATTTAGATAAGGTGACGCTAGAAAAAGCTCGGCTCGAAAAAGCTCGAGCTCGAAAATTTTGAAAAAGCTCGGCTCGGCTCGGCTCGAGGTTGAAAATCACTATTCGCACACCCCTAGTGTCCAGTTTACTTTATTTTAGTAAATTTAAGTTGGATTTTTTGTGTTCAAAATGTCATTTTTGCTGTTAAGTTGTTGTTAAATTTTTCGGTTTGTCAGTATAGCCTATTGAGCCAATTTGATCATTTACCAAAAATACAGCTTTTATTATTGTTACTGAACAAAATGCCACTGTAGTAGATGGTTAAATAACTGACCAAACACATTGACCTGAATCAGTTATGATGATTTCGTGTTTACCTCCGCCTGTGGCATGTTTTTAAGGTTTTTTGTAAGTGAACAGTCTTGTCTACAGTGAATGAAAAATATATTACCAAACCTTTTCACTACCTACCTCATTTGTGACCTTAAATAACTCTGACTTTTAAAAAGATAAAACTTAGTCAAATCATTGTCATTTTCTGATTTTATCACAACCTAGAGAGTGTTTACAATAACTACAAAGAACAAAAAACATAAAAAATATACCCACATCTTCATTGGTTGTTTGGTTGGAAGTTGTAAGGTACGTGTGAAAACCGGCGAGTCCTAACACGCTCCATACACTGAAGAAACACACAACAACAACAATCACACTCGAAGGTGATTCTTTCACTGCTTCAAAAAACAACCTGTCCTCTTTCGTCACTGGAAAGAATAACAAAAATATTTGTGAAACTTTAGAAACTGATATTATTTTAAACAACCAAGATGATCCAAGATCACCAAGATGTCTTGAGTAACATTTTGTTGGGTATATTAGAGCAAGGTTAAACAAGGTTATAATGTGCTAATAAGTTAATTTAGTGCACTCAAAAGGAAGGTCTGATCTCATTAGTAAGTAGTAGCTGAAATTTGCTGATTAATAAAGAAAATAAACAAGGGAGAGCTCATGAAGGTGACTAAATAACATTTTTTGTTTATAAATGTTATGTTAAGTTACGACACAGTCAATAGACCTACAGGCCTAAAACAAAATCATAAAAATGAAAATGAAAACAACATTGCAAAGTCTAAATTTCTTCTAAAAAAATCATGCAATGCTAAACAATATCTTTTTTGTTGGGCTATATTGTTTTGAAAACTCTAATTTTGTAAGCGATTATAGGTTATTAAGCCTGCATATCTTAACCTCAATAGGAACTCAATAGGTAGCCTCAATAGGTAGGTTTTGTTTTATTTTTTTCCAGTCAAGTTTTAGAGGCTGTTCATGTTTAGATATTCATTTATCTGATCATACAACAAGCAATCCCAATATTTTTGTGACAATTTATTCCATTTTTTTAGGATTTTCCATTAAAACATTTTATTTATAAGATTTAGAACATGTAAAGTTTTATGTAACATCAGTTTTACCAAAACTAAGTTAGCTTATTTGGAGAGAAAAGAATTAGAAGAATCATTCTACAATTCAAATTAACCTCATGTTATTATTAATTGACATCTAACTTCTTCATCACATCTACACACACTAAACAGATTTATATGATGGTTAAGTAGAGAATGAAAACTCTCGAGACTAAAGGAATAAGGTAGCAAAGTAAGCCTACTTACAGAGAATAAGGTGTGTGAGTGAACAGCCTAGGATGAAGACACAAAGGAATGCCAATGAGACGATGAACATGTAGAAGTATCTGTAATTGCGCTTGCCCACACAGTTGCCAACCCATGGACAATGGTGATCAAACCTCTCTGTTATAACAAACATCATCACTTACATCATTAGTCTGACTCTGACACAAGCATGATGTCATAGATGAACATGTAGAAGTATCTGTAGTTGCGCTTGCCCACACAGTTGCCAACCCATGGACAATGGTGATCAAACCTCTCTGTTATAACAAACATCATCACTTACATCATTAGTCTGACTCTGACACAAGCATGATGTCATAGATGAACATGTAGAAGTATCTGTAGTTTCGCTTGCCCACACAGTTGCCAACCCATGGACAATGGTGATCAAACCTCTCTGTTATAACAAACATCATCACTTACATCATTAGTCTGACTCTGACACAAGCATGATGTCATAGATAAACATGTAGAAGTATCTGTAGTTGCGCTTGCCCACACAGTTGCCAACCCATGGACAATGGTGATCAAACCTCTCTGTTATAACAAACATCATCACTTACATCATTAGTCTGACTCTGACACAAGCATGATGTCATAGATGAACATGTAGAAGTATCTGTAGTTTCGCTTGCCCACACAGTTGCCAACCCATGGACAATGGTGATCAAACCTCTCTGTTATAACAAACATCATCACTTACATCATTAGTCTGACTCTGACACAAGCATGATGTCATAGATAAACATGTAGAAGTATCTGTAGTTGCGCTTGCCCACACAGTTGCCAACCCATGGACAATGGTGATCAAACCTCTCTGTTATAACAAACATCATCACTTACATCATTAGTCTGACTCTGACACAAGCATGATGTCATAGATGAACATGTAGAAGTATCTGTAGTTTCGCTTGCCCACACAGTTGCCAACCCATGGACAATGGTGATCAAACCTCTTAGTTATAACAAACATCATCACTTACATCATTAGTCTGACTCTGACACAAGCATGATGTCAAAGATGAACATGTAGAAGTATCTGTAGTTGCGCTTGCCCACACAGTTGCCAACCCATGGACAATGGTGATCAAACCTCTCTGTTATAACAAACATCATCACTTACATCATTAGTCTGACTCTGACACAAGCATGATGTCATAGATGAACACGTAGAAGTATCTGTAGTTGTGCTTGCCCACACAGTTGCCAACCCATGGACAATGGTGATCAAACCTCTCTGATATAACAAACATCATCACTTACATCATTAGTCTGACTCTGACACAAGCATGATGTCATAGATGAACATGTAGAAGTATCTGTAGTTGTGCTTGCCCACACAGTTGCCAACCCATGGACAATGGTGATCAAACCTCTCTGATATAACAAACATCATCACTTACATCATTAGTCTGACTCTGACACAAGCATGATGCCAACTATGATAGCATGCAAAGATAATATCTATTAACTAGCAGAGTAATTTATTCGAATAGAATAAGTAAAACTAGTTATGTTGAATCCCTTGTCTGTCGCCCACAAAGAGGACATCCCTTAAATTAAGACAAAACAATAAACCACCAATGAATAAGCAGATATTTAAATATATTTGGTTTGATATTCTTATAATTCTAAAAGCATTACTTTAATATGAGTGGGTTATACAGATAACGTAACAATGTCATCAATGAAAACAAGTACCGTAGTTGTGTATATTGAAGACTCTTGCGCTTAACCTCTACTCTACAGTTTTCCTTATCACTTTCTAGGCTACAATGAGTGTGCTGTAATTACTTAGTTTTGTGTTACAGATTTTATTTGAGGTTAGCTAACTTACCTAAATGGGAAAGAGTATTTTATAAACCTTAAAATTAATCAAAGACATTGGTGTGTTCAAAATGGATGAAGAAGAACTACAGGATCAGAACAAGTGGAGTTGGTAAGGCTAAATACCTACTTTGGTATATTAGCCATATAGGAGTTGTGAATGAGCTGGTCTAGGGGTAGAGGGCAGGACTTCGGCACTCAAGGTACTGGGTTAAAATCCTATCAGTCACCAATGGATTGTCTTAGTGATAATACCGTGACCCTCTAGGCATAGTCTAAGCTAATGTATAAAAAAGTTCTGAGCTAGGGCCTTACGTCATAGGATGAGAAGGTGGGACATAAAAAAGAAAATACCCCCGTCGCAGCAAACCTGCATACTAAGCGAATTTCCATTTACCCGGCTTGATTTCTACTAAACTATTCCCTATAAATTTTCAGATTTATTTCCTATTTAAATAACATTAATTTTAGTGAGTAGTTAGGTTTGCTGCTACGGGGAAGATGTTGAGATGTGTTTTTTCAGTTGAAATATTGATAGCTTAGTATGAAATAAACCAAATTGCCAAATTTGATTAAAATATATGCATAAACAAGCAAACTAGAACAGTTTATTTATTCTCCATAAGAATAACATGGGAATTTTAAATTTACAATTTTTTAAATTTTTTCCGTAGTCAATGAAGATTCAAAAACACTTCAATATACTAAATTATTTGTTTTTTTAAGCTCTTCAAAATGGTCTAGAGAGAAATTTAGAAATTTTAAGTTTTGAGGGTCAAAAATGAGAAAAACCCATTTTTACCCCATAAAACCCCCCATAAACCCCTGATCCCATGGGCCGATTATGCTGGTTCGCGAACTCGTTTGAATAAATGTAGGTTTAAACGTTTGTACCAAATTTCATCAAAATCGGATCAATTTTGCTCGAGTTATCGCGCTAACGGACACATATATAATTATATATATATATATATATATATGAATTTGAACGGTTGGTGTTTTTGGCCTCTGGGGACCTCAAAACGAAAAAGTAAATCGGTCCCGGGTCTAGGTCTTACCATGAGACCTACGGTAATAGCTTATTCCCTATATGGGAAATTCGCTAAAACTATACTGACCTACGCAGTTATCACAAAGACTACAATGAGATGCTCTGGGTGGCCGGAAGATCTTGCATGTGAAGCAATACTTAAGCTTTACTGTCTGTCCTCTGACCAGGATCTCCTTGGTCCGAGGAGGAGGCCTGAATGTCGGGGAATTGGCGGAATTGGATACTTCTGCAACATTTCAAAACAGGAAATATGTTTACAGGGTTAAATTAGTGATTAGAAAGTTTTTAATAAATGGTATAACATTTACCTTGTATATTTAAGTAGAAAATGTACCCAGGTTTTTCTACCTGTAATCTATTTCTTCCTCAATTTAAACTTAATTGTTTGTTTCTTTTATTAACTGTTGCAAAAAATTAATTTTCCCCCATAGTTGCTATTCTGGATTTGATTGCTTGTTTTGACATGCTTTGTAGGTTTGCTAGCAATCTTTCAGCCATAGAAAACTGACCATGACTACCACTCACCTTCTTTAAATTAATCAAATTTTCAGTTTTACAATAATTGTCACTCGAAAAATTCAAACGTAATAAATAGAAAATGGGTTAAAAACACCCCACAGCGGTGTTAGAAAACTGGAAGAGTATTACTACTACAGTAATAGTGCTCTCTTATTCTTTGAAGATGTTAGCGCATCAGAGCAGTACATTGAAATAAAACATCAAACATGATTTTAATGCAGTCAAGAATATTAACTGTGTAGTTTACAACATATTATCCTGGGGTTTTAAATCCCAAACCTCTTCTCTAAGTTTGAAGAAATAAATTTGCTTTGTGAATACACTCACCGATCTGTTTCTCAATGTAAGCAGCTTCATCCGGAGTTGCCCGAGGTATCACTCCTGGGTCACTGAAGCTGGTCCGCAGCAAAGCTGACATGACGAAGACGAACAGCAACGCCCCTACAGCAGGGATGGCCGGCGTGATCCTCATTGCTAGGAATGGACAACTGTAACAAAAGTATTCAAACTGAGGAGAAGAAAAAGACATTTTATGTTTGACTGGGATGTTGCTAGCGTATCGTACATCAGTGCAAGAGGCACAGTTCCAAACTCGGGCATATTAAAAAAAATTCTATGAGTTTGGACCGCTTTATATTGAAAGCATTAGTGAAAAAAACTTGTTCCCTACATGGGAAATTTGCTGAAAAATTAATAAAATATAATAAAAGTTAAATGAGGTGGACGTTTTTTTTCAAATTTAACTAACACCCCAGCATATGTTTGAATGAGATCAAGGAGGGACTTGATGCAGCTATGGGAAGGGAGAAGGCAATTAGGCAAGGAAATACCATATATACAGTTAATTTAAATTGAAACCATCAATAAGGAAAGAGGGGGTTTCAGAGAGGTTATAATCTATACAATGTATTTTATATTCATTTAAACAATTTTATAAATTGTACTCATGTTTTAATGAGTTAAAGCTACAGAAAATAGTTTCAACTTATAAAGATCAAATTTAACACGTTTGCTTGTTAGCAACTCTATACTTTTTCTGCTTCCAACCAGATTCTTTGTCGTTAATCAATTCATAATCTACCAAATGCACTAATTAGATCAGTATTGAAGGGTCAAGCATAACGGTTGATAAGAATACAGACAAGTCTACAATATTCCTGGTAGACTTAAGATAATTTTACAAAGATGACATGACATTCAAGTGAATCGCGGGTTGAATAACAATATCAACAGATTAGAGAATAAGAGAGTCATTGATGTTAGTCAACAGCTGTGTTTATTACATGATCATTGATATATTATCTTCAAGATAAGTGATCTCATCAAGAGATCGATGATTAAGATAGGATAAGTCTATTGGGTAGGTATAAGAAGCTACAAAGTAAATTTAGAATTCTTACACATTTAAAAAATCATATTTGAATTAATTTTTTATTCCAAATGTTGGAATAGGTGTGATTTTAGCAAGAGCAGACACGACAACAACCTATGTTCAAACAATTATACTACTGTAGTTGTGATACAAAACTTATTAAGCCAGATGGTGGACTAATATTTCCTGCCTGATTTGCAAAAGTCCGGCCAATTCCCAACCAACATTTTTTCAACATAGCTAATACTTCAATACTTTTTATTGAAATGGCGACCATACAAAGTAGGTACCGTATTTTAAGCCAAGTCGAATGGAGATGAGTGTAGGATGAGTTGCCGTCATATTCCTTAGACACAGCTGTTAATTAATAGCCCATACATGCTTCTTGATTATAATCTGTGCTGCAAATAATTGTGTAACGCCATAAACGTTTAATCAAAAGCTGACTTTATGGTCTTGAAGATCATGGCCAACATTGGATGATTTAATCGGAATAGGTGTCTAGCGCTACTAAAAGTACAGTTACAACTGATCCGGTTGACTGCTCCATGATAGCTATCTGAGAAGAGATCATTTTAACGTCAGCTTTCAGTTCTACATTTGGGTCTGATACATGGGTTTGGAATCTAAAGACCAAGTTTGTCATGTTATCGCTGGTGTAAGTTCACAATTAATGTACCGGTAAGCCTAAGCACCTCAATTCATAAAACAACCATTTAGTTGCTAACAAGCAAACGTGTTAAATTTGATCTTTATAAGTTGAAACTATTTTCTGTAGCTTTAACTCATTAAAACTTGAGTACAATTTATGAAATTGTTTAAATGAATATAAAATACATTGTATAGATTATAACCTCTCTGAAACCCCCTCTTTCCTTATTGTTGTTCAATTTAAATTAACTGTATATACAGTGTGTAAATTAAGTATGGAAACAAATCTGTAGTTTTAAAACCGAAATAGATAGAAATATTCTATTTGTGGCAATAATAGTTAACAAAGATTCCGCAATTTTTCACATGAAAAATATTTTTTTACCCCCCTAACAGGGTAGGTGGTAGGGGGTGACTTATTTTTTTCAAATAGCAACCCCTATTGAGTGACCCCTCATTTTGAAGGGTTTGTCAAAAGAAACACAATGACGCAAATCCGAGGTGAATATCTCACTCCTAGCCCAAATGGCGGATATTCCAAAATTTGATTTATTGTACGTGAAAAGCACCAATTTCACAAATAATGGAAAGAAATCTGTATTTTTAAAACCGAAATAGATAGAAATATTCTGTTTGTGGAATTGATTGTTGACATAGGTTCTGCAATTTTTTAATTAACAATATTTTTTCAACCCCTTTAACAGGGTAGGGGGTGGGAGTGACTTATTTTTTTCAACAACAACCCCTATTGAGTGACCCCTCATTTTGAAGGGTTTGTTAAAAGAAAAAGAATGACGCAAACCCGAGGTAGATATTTCACCCCTAGCCTAAATGGTGGGTAATGAAAAATTTAATTTTTGTAAAAAAAAGCCCATTTTGGAATATCCGCCATGTTAGCTAGGAGTGAGATATTCACCTCGGATTTGCGTCATTGTGTTTCTTTTGACAAACCCTTCAAAATGAGGGGTCACTCAATAGGGGTTGCTATTTGAAAAAAATAAGTCACCCCCTACCACCTACCCTGTTAGGGGGGTAAAAAAATATTTTTCATGTGAAAAATTGCGGAATCTTTGTTAACTATTATTGCCACAAATAGAATATTTCTATCTATTTCGGTTTTAAAAATACAGATTTGTTTCCATACTTAATTTACACACATAGACATATATTAATCAAACACGGTGTACCACAAGGCTCAATTCTAGGTCCACTGTTATTTTTAATATATATACCTACATATTTTAGGCTAATTAAGTTAAATCACTCAGATATAATTTGTTTACCCCTACCTAACTTAAGGCCCTTTTTGACACCATTTTCATTGTTGACGAGGTCTATTGTAACTTGTTATTTAATGGCCAATAAAGATTTATGATTTATGCTTTATTTTTTAGAATCTATTAAGTTAGTAGGCCTAGGCTAGTATGTTATTTATTAACTTATTTAGTATTTATATAATTGTATATTTTTAGCTACCAGTAATAGTTAAGTTTTCAGTCTACCATCTGATTGTAGCTAGGATACAAAGGCCAAATGGTTGTTATCACAATTGAAACAAGGAGTCTAGGTACCTATCTACTTAAAAATAAAATACCCCTGCCGCAGCAAACAGGCAGACTAAGTGAATTTCCACTTCGTTTATAGAGAGAAATTAGGAAATTTAATGTTTTTAGGACCGTCAAAAAAGAGAAATTCCTTTTTAGCGAATTTCCCCTATAGGGAATAAGCTATAGGTACCGATTTACTTTTTCGTTTTGAGGTCCCTAGAGACCAAAAAACACCATCCTTTCAAATTCATATATATATATATATATATATATATATATATTTATTTATAAGCAAAATAACAAAAACCAGAGTACCCTGAAATTCATTTTTTATTTTTAAAGTTTAAATAAAAAATAAATTTCAGGGTACTCTGGTTTTTATTATTTTGCTTATTAATTGAAAAAGTTGCCCTAAAAAGTGAACAGAACTATCAAAATATATATATTTATATATGTGCCCGTTAGCGCGATAGGAACTCAAAGAAAAATCATCGGATTTTGATGAAATTTGGTACAAACGTGTAAACCTACGTTTATTCTAACGAGTTCGCGAACCAGCATGATCGGACTATGGGAACAGGGGGACTATGGGGGATTTTATGGGGCAAAAATTAGTTTTTCCCATTTTTAACCCTAAAAACTTAAAATTTAGCATTTTCTTTCCAAACCATTTTGTAAAGCTTAAAAAAACAAATAATTTAGTATATTGAAGCGTTACTATGCGCCTAATGGTTACGGAGAAAATAAAAAAAACTGTAAATTTAAAATTCTCATGTTATTCTGATGGAGAATAAGTAAACTGTTGTAGTTTGCTTGTTTATGATCATATTTTGATCAAATTTGGAACATGCATTCATTTCATACTATTAACATTTTACAAAAAACACCTTTTCACCCTCCCTGTTGGAGCAAACCTAAGAACTCGTTAAACTAATGTTATTTATATAGGCTAGGGAATAAAATGTGATATTTTTAAGGAGACATTTTAGTGTAAATCCAATCAGGCAATTGGAAATTCGCTTAGTCTGCAGGTTTGCTGTGGCGGGGGTATTTTACCTAAATATATATAGGCTTAATATAATGTATGAATTTGAACAAATGGCGTTTTTGTCCTCTGGGGACATCAAAACAAAAAAATAAATCGGTCCCGTGTCCAGGTCTTACTATGAGACCTACGCTAATAGCTGATTCCCTATACTTACTTACTTACTTACTTACTTACTTGAATACTTAAATACTTGAATAGGTACTGCATCGGTGACCGACAATGTCAGAATGGATTGCATCAAAAAGTTACCTTATAAAGTTACCTACAGGAAATTTTCTAATATTTCCTAAGTTAATTGGAAATTAGCTAAAAAGTTAAATAAAAAAGCATGTCCATTTGATAAACTTTTGATAAATAATAGGCCTACCGTAAGTAAAAGAACAAAAATAGTGTTTAGTTAAAAGTGTCAATATTTGTTAATGTTTTGATATGAGCATGAAGTTGTAACGGCTCCACCAACTAATCAACTTAAAACTGTTACAGTACATTAGATATTTCCATATGACCTTAAACTGAATAGGGATAGCCTAAGGTTGGAATGTATTCAATTGAGTTCAACTCTTTAACAAATTATAGTAGGTAGGTACACATGTATTGGCTAAGGAGTATTTTTAGCCTTTAGTGGTCTTAAGTGGGTAACTTACTTCCATGGGGTACATTTTTTAAATATTATTATCGATATATTACTTGATATATTACTGGATAAATATAGTGATGTTAATTCGGTTCGATATAAATATCGCATAATTTAATTTTACCATATAAGTGTAAGTTAATATTTATAAAAACAATCATAGGCCTAGTTTCTTAATATTAGGCCTTACCCTTAGTTTCTATTTTAAATTTGTACAACTAAAAATGGAAGGAACTATAGCCTACATTTTCGAACCGTATGCTGTAACTATAGCCATAGATAAAAAGATATAGGCTACATTTTTTTTTTTTAAAGAGGTTGGCGGCCTCTTTTAACCATGCATTTGCCCGTCCACATAGACTACAGATCTGTGCATGGAACGTATCCAGGAAAGCAAGGGGTGAGCTGGTACAGTAGGACGAAGGTGAACTGTACTGATAAATTTTAGTGGCAGTGACCAGGATCCGAACCCACGACATCGCTGCCTTGGGCCCGAAGTCCGTGACGCTACCAACTGAGCCAACTCATCTAATAGATATAGACTTTCAGCTGTGCTGCGGTTAGCATAAGTACTGGAGTCCAACGCTAGGTTTGCCGTATAGTTACGGCACACACCGCTGCAGCGTCTGCTGGTCACATACTGCTACTGCGCTCCTCGCCTGCAGCGGTGGGCGCCGGAACCTTCCTTTGACAGTCCATATTTAGTCTATTTGTCTATTTATTCTATTGGTTTTGGGTTGAATATGGAATAGGCCTACCCTATTGATAAGTTAGTTTGCTGTATTAAACATTAATAATAATGTAAACAAATCATAACTCAATTTGATGTAAACCGTAAAAATATTAAAAATTACATTGTAGAAACGGTACCTAAGTTATAAAATTGAACTGAATCAAATTTAATATATTAATATCAACATATTAACTAAACCGATAATATAGCCTTATCACAGGCTCTCATTGGAACTGTACGCAAAATATGTACGGTACTGTTAATCGAAGCATTACATGGTAATGATGAATAAGGCCTTGCCTAAGTTATCTATTCACTGCAGTAATAAGTTTTTGTATTGTTTGGATCCAAACATAATTATTGAGTGTTAAATCAAGTATACTTACTCGAATATAAAAAATAGGGAACATGTTCCCACAATCAGCCCAACAGTAACAAAAAATACACTTGTCTGAGGAGCCATCATAATTCTCCCATCACAGCAAAATTTGTTCCTTCCAGGAAATAATTCCCACTTTCTTGTTACGTGTGTCATCTTTGCTGCAGCATGAGATAAATTATCTTATGTAAAATGTTGAAGGTCAAGCACGCTGTTTCAATAGTTTATTTAGTCCAAAGATGTTTTCCATTTTCACACTATCATAACCTTCACGAGCCATTTTTCTCGATTAATTGAACATAGACTTTTCATAATGTATTAACTCCTATCTGGACTAACTTGGATTTAAATTCGCATCTTCTAATATTGCCACATAACATATCTAAGATACAGTATGAGGAAAATATCTACAAATTATTGTTATCAATCATCACAAATAAAATTGTAACATAATAACAACCACTACTAAGCTGACTGACAGATTAAGAAATTTCTTTATGGTCGGTGAACAGCCTTCTTTTCTTTCTCACGAGTTTGAAACATAGAGAAACAAACGACAAAATTTGTTATTTTTATATAAAAAACTATATTAGTGTAAAAACTATTGTAATAAATATATCAACAATTTTTTTGTAAAGTATAGCATTACCATTGGGTCAATTTAATGTATAAGCATTGATTATATATCACCTTTGACTATTGAAGAAGGATTAGGAGGTTTAAAATCAATGGGTACTAGGCGACCGTGGGTACTAGAACCGGTGAGCACTTTTTCACCTCAAATTAGTTGACGAATATCGAAACTGGAAAATCGATACTTGTACAGCTCGATTGTTTTTAGAATTTAGTACATCGCGATATCGATAGCCCACTCCCACTCCATCCATTCCCGTTCTCCTTTGACTTGTGACTTGACACTGACAGTTTGAATTTAATAATGGTAGATCATTAAAGGAGAGAACATATATGTAGCGCCTAGGGACGTTATGTCAATTTTTTAAGAGAATACATAAATTTGTTAATACCTTACGAACAAATTCTTCTTCTGTTTCTATTTATCAGTAAATAGTAATGGGAATAAAATTCAATGTCAACAGTTGAAAAGATTATTGCTAAGGTTATGTTCATCACGGGACCAGAATTTGTTTTAATCAAAACTGAATATCATCAGATGGAGGCCATTTCTATTACCTAATTTGTATTATTATTGTTAGTATCAACCCAGCTCTTGTAAAAAATGCCTCCTTCCTGAGAGGGAGTGTAATTTACTATTTTCCTTGCTTAAGACTAATAATTTTAAAGCTTAATGGTGAATTAAAAATTACAAAATTATTACCTTGATCACAGTTCTTAGAAATTTTATTCCTGATTCCTTCATTAATCTTATTTTATTTTTTGTCTGGAGGTCGATATGATATAGTACTCAAGAGAGTATTGAATTGAATGTAACAGTAAACTTATTTAGTATCAATTTATTCAGCTCAAGGGGTCTATTTTAGTTCCATTTAAGCAATGATAAATCATGTTTATTTTCGGGCCAAAACGTCATTTTTTTATGTTTATGATCCATACCGGTATTTTTCTAGTAATCGTGCTTTAAGTCAGTCTCAGTCAAATCTATATAATTAATACGCTACATGAAACTTTGTCGGTTGAACTCCTCCGCCATTTCTTTACCGATTTTATCCATTGACGTCTCATTGGAAAGAGCGTGTCGCGTAGATTTGCAAACTGGCCTAACATTTTTGAAAAAGTCCCTTGGGCTCTGCCCCAGTGGCATTGAAAGTTTCCATGTTATTCTTATGAAGAACAGAATTGTTTACATTTTGATCTTGATCAGCTGTATAATTTAATTGCTGTTATTTATTTTTCAATTCAATGAAACGCATTGAGTACATTTATTTACTATTTGAGTTTGTGTAAACATAACCCCCAAGACGATTCGTGTTAGTATGGTTGTATCTTAAATGTGTGTATTTATAGTTGTTTTGTGTCGCTATGACGGATCGTGTTAGCATGTTTGTAACTTAAATTTGTGCATTTATAGTTGTATTGTGTAGCTATAATTTGTTTATTTGTTGTTTTTTTCCTTTTAAATGCCTCCGACGCAACGACAACGAAACATAGACAGGAGGCGTAATCGTGATAGTGACCACAGCTAACAGTGGCGCGTAATAGGCTTAACTCATCACAGTCAGCACCTGACCCTGGACAATCTCAACTCAACTATTAGGTTACAAATGCGCCCTAACACTACCCCAAAACGACTTTTCGTTCTCAATTGGCCCTCTATCAATGACCTGTGTTGCCCGTACTACGACGCATTATAAGAAGAAGAAAACCGGCCGGAATACTTTAGATTTTTTGAAGATAAACATGGTCTGAGTTACACACCGGTAATTTTTGAGTTGACTCTTTTAAACTCATTGTAAATATGACTGTTATTCGTTTTGATATAACTCCTGTAATACTTTGCAATTGCTCGAATTCGAGCAACATGTACACTAGTTATTATTATTATGTGTTCGCTGCAGTCAAACCAATAAAATTTACTCCGATTCCGATTCGATTACTCTAAAACAATCGAGCGGTAAAAGTATCGATTTTCCAGTTTCGATATTCGTCAACTAATTTGAGGTGAAAAAGTGCTCACCACTAGAACCAGCTAGAACTCAGCATTTCAGGGGAGAGAGAATTGCCGTGTGTGTAGAGTCATGAGCTGGCTTTTAAATATCGGCAGGGAACAATCAGAAGGATTACTCAAATCGTTGTACTCATAATTTTGTGCAGTTTCATGCATCACCAAATCACTTATTTTTTTCCTTCATTGCTAAATACCACTTGCAATCACTAAATTTAAGTTTTGGGTGTTTCGATGCAATTAGGTTTTTTTCCTCTTCATCTTGTTAATATATATATATATATATATATATATACATATATATATATATATATATATATTTTTTATTTACTATCATCATTAAGTGTCTAGACTTCTCATCCCATTGTAAATTTTGAAGCACGTTTTTCGTGTCTAGTTCATGTACGTGACACAAAGGCGCTAGTGTCGATGAAACTTTGTTTCCATTATTTTAGGGTTAATTTCTTGATTTGTGCTTTACTGTTTGGTTATATAACTAGGGGACAAGTTATTGTTTATGATTAGATTGTATTATTTGGTTAAACGAGGTTTTAAATGGCTGTAATAACGGGAAACAAATTGTAAACAAAACACGACCTCTGCATAAACCGTACATGAACTAACAATAAAATTGTCTTCAGCTGTTCCATAAGGATGAGAAATCTACTAAGGGAGTATGTTTTATCTATGCTAGTACTTCTGAATGTTTATGGGCCTTTGTCACCTGTGTATAGCTCACTGAGCTTGGTATAGCTGTATTAGCAACTCATACCCAAACACAGACGAATAGTCTACTTGGGAATTAATTTTCCTGTAAATACACAATTTGTTACAAACATGTAACATTTATTCAGGAATAAAGAGATTTTGATTTGATTTGTGTACTCGAGTGTTTCATAACGGCCACTTTTTTGTTAGCTTATCTATAATGTAAAGCAGCATGAAGTCGGCTGGCTTACAACTTCCAGTAAGTATATTAGATCTTGAAAAACGTTTGGATGAGTCAATCGAATGCATAGAGGTAATGTATTCGATCATGGTATTAGCATTAATTTTAAATAGTATTTTGTCTTATTTTCAGCTTAGTAAATTTTTAAGCTTCAAAACACGAGATATTCTTAAAAACAATTATTGCTGAACTCAAAGCATACTTAAAAAGTTTCATGGTTTGTTTTTTCGTTAATTTAATCCCAACAATGAACAAAGGACTTAAAAATAATATATACATACTCCTGCCATCTGCTTACACCATGATCTGTTACTGTTCTACAGTAGTTCTAGTAAGTGTTTCTGTTCTCGTCTTATTCCTCTTTCCCTCTCCTATCTCCTCCTCTATCATCGTAAATTCTCTCTCAACAATCGCTTCGCTTCTCGCATCTTCTCCTTCTCCTCACTCTCACTCATAATCTCACAAAAAAAAATAACCTAACTCAAAAAAAAACTCAACCTCAAAGAAAATTTGAGTTGAGTTTTCTGAAGATAATAATCATTCAATTAATTAACGAATTAACCCAGTGAAGTGTTATTTAAAACTAAACTGCTCCAAATGTAGATAATAATCATTCAAAAGTTTTGGTGTGCAATGCATGTTCAACAAACGTAGAATCATTATTTTTTGAGCACCGAGTAAGGCAGGCCTAGCCCTAGCCCTATTTGTCTTTTAAATGGATGAAAATAGTGATAAACCTACGGCTTCGGCCCTCAAAGACAAAATATCCTACAATATGAAAGGTAACAATCATTGCCTTAAGTACTACCCTAAAAGAACAACAATGGATGAAACCTTCTATTAAAGTTTCACGGTTTCTATGATAAACTTAGCCTAACTTAAAATAGGCTAGGCAAATGCTAACCTCTTTAATTATTTTTGGTTTAGGCCCAAAGATTTATCTGGCCATTCAGTATTAAACAATAGCATATGCTAATGTAGCCTATTTCACATTAAATTTACATTATTCAAATAAACTAATTTTGAGTTCGTCTTGACTCACATCATGTGGCATCAATTATTAGACTATATTCGGCTAGACGGTACCTAGGCCTATGCCTAACATCATAATTGCACATACTTTCTCCCATTAGCTTGTCAACCAGGGGCGGCTCCAGGAATAATTTTTTGGGTAGGCCAGACAAGGATCAAGAAATTGAGTTTGATCTGGGGACGAGAGGTTTGAAGAGCTTACCCGCTAAAAGGGGGGAGTTTTCAAATTAAAATGCAAAATAATTAGCCTAGTTTGAATGCTTTCCCTTTATTTGAATAATTAAGTTAAATTTCTTTATTTATTTACTTAGGCCCATAATTTTGAAATATCTACCAAAATATTATAATGTTATATGTGCTCTGGAGCCGCCCCTGTTGTCAACAACTTATAACGGGATTTTTAAGTGTTGGAAGTAGGCTTTGAATTTAGATATTTTAATGGGAAAATCACCAAAATTGCAATGCCTTCCGAACCATAATTTTTACAGCATTAAGTTAAGGGTTGTACCATTTTGTTTAGAGTTAAAATAACCATAAGTTAAGTTATACTTAAAATAACTTAGGCCTAAGTTACTTAAATTTCAATCAAAATTGTTAAATACAAATAAGTGAAAATCAGATTTGATGAGAAAACCACCAATGAAATTCTAAAAACGCCTGGAGATAGGCCTTGATTAATTTAATACCCACAGGTGTGGCCTGTGACTCTGTACACATATACTGACATTCTTCAAAAATCCCTTTTTTGATTTCAGAGGGTCCCAAAACGAATTAGTTAGGCTATCCACCCAAAACTCATAAACTGTAAAATTTGGATACAAACAATAGGTACTTTCTCGATTCAC